CTACAACAACAGTTGCCTTCGATTACCGACGGCCTCAAGCCAGGAGCGATCAATTGTGGGATGACATGAAAAGTTTGTTCCTTCAGCCAAGTTTCTTCTGATGATGACACCGACAGCTGTCAATCGAATCCTTTTGCGTTGAGAGGCAAAAGACGGAGAGTGTCAGTCGACCAATTTTGTCAAGCGTTTCCGCTACATGGCTTATGAATCTGCAGTAGATCTATACAAGAGGAGTTATCCTGCAAATATGCCACAATAAACTCTCCATCGATGCTTGGAAGCTCTGGGGTTGAGCCGTCTACATACTTGCGGAAAGGAGTTAAAAATCTCGGCTCAGTGAACAAGCTGACATTTTCTTTAAAAAGAAAGAAAGTAGAGAGGTCAACCGACGACATCACAATTCCTTGTGAAACGCCAACTCTCGAATCCGAGGTTCCAAAAGGGCCAGTATTCTTTTGAAGATGATTGAACTCCGCCAGTATTGCGAATACCTCCTCGCTAATGACAAAATCGAGCTACCACCTATTAAAGTCAGGATGGCTGCTAAAATTGATTTAGTGGATCCAAATTACTGTTCGTACCACAGAAGGGTTCTTCATCCACTGAGATTTGCTTTGGACTCAAAAACAGCATCCAAGCCCTAAATTGACTCGGGTCTATACGACGAAAGAAAGTCGAGTAAGCACGACCATTAAAACTCCTGTGGGTACACGAGTATAACTGTTTCCCTCACTCCAAAGAGTATTACGAGTATAAACTGCTTCTCGTCATCTAATCTAAAACAATATACCTAGTTTTTGCAAAGAAAGCTGGGCGTGGATATCCATGTAACAGGAATTCCTAGAGAATCTTATATTCCTAAGAGTAACCCGGATTGAGGTTAAGCCTACTCCTCGTTATACCCAGTTTTAAAAAAGCTGGAGTCGATAATTCATGTAAACGGCAAGTTCCTGGAAGAATGTGTAAATGATAATATTCTTAGCGGATAACCCCGATTATTATGGACAGAATGATAAATACTCTAAGCTCCTATTATTATTTTCGAACACTTTTTGCTGAGATGAGATTCGTATCACTTCGTTAGATCGCAATCTTCCTCACAAAAACCATTTGGTTCAAACCGCTTTAAACGTTAGCGACGAAGCCAAAATCCCCTCTCGATTCGTTCCATGAACGAGAGGCTCCACAAATTTAAACGATCAAACCTTTAAACTGTTAGGATCGTCTTTAATTCCTATTTTGGTTCAGAACCTTCTAAACAGTTAGGACCAATCCAAAATCCCCTCTCGATTTCGTTCTCTCATGAACGGAGGTCCACAAATTAAACGATCAACTTTAAACAGTTAGGATCGTCTTAAATTCCTCATTTTTGGTCAAACCTTTTAAAACAGTTGGACCAAATCCAAATTCCCCTCTCGATTCCTTCCATGACACGAACTGAGGTCCCAACTTGAACGATCAAACCTTTAAACAGTTAGGTCGTCTCAAAATCTCATCTTGCGTCAACCTTTATACAGTTAGGACCAAACGCCAAATCCCCTCTCGATTCGTTCCGATGAACGAGAGGTTCCTATAAATTGAACGATTCAAACCTTTAAACAGTTAGCGATGTCTCAGAACTCCCACTTGGTCAAACCTTACTACAGTCGGACCAAAAACCAAATCCCCTTCGATTCTTCCATGAAGCGAGAGTCGTCCAGCTTCGATTTTGCCGCAATGTGCAAAACTATAAAAGTTAAGATTGCTTCAATGCTCAATTGATCAAACCTTACTTCAGATTCTCAATAGAAATCCATACTCAAATTTTCCTTTGCTACCAGGAATAGAATATAAATTCTCCTCTCCGATTTCGTGTTCATCTCTACCAAACAAACAACGAGACCAGGGAGATAGAATTTAAAATTCTTACCTCTCGATTTGCGGGTTTATCTCTGACCAACAAACAAGAGACAGGAGTAGATATAAAAATTCTTCCTCTTCCGATTTGGTCGGTTCATCTTTCACCACAACAAACAAGCAACCAGGGATAGAATATAAAATTCTTCTCTCCGATGTTCGGGTTTATCTCTACACAACAAACAGAGAGACAGGAGATAGACATAGTAAATTCTTTCTTCTCCCATCCGGGTTCATCTCTACAACAAACAAAGAGACCAGGAGAATAGAATATAAAATTCTTTCCTCGCCATCAATCGGCGTTTATTCTCTACCAACAAAAAGCAGGACCAGGAGATAGAATATAAAATTCTGTCCGCTCCGATTCTGGGTTCATCTTACAACAAAAAAGAGACCTGATACTCCAATAGGTGACACGAGTGTCTAAACTGTTCCCATCATCAACAGGAAGTTCTAGAGATATATTTACTTCAGAATTATCTTTAACGATAACCTGAATACGTCCAATAGGTACCATCGAGTCTAAAACTGTTTCCCTCTCATCAACAGGAAGTTTCTAGAGAATTTACTCAGAATTTCTTAAGGAATAACCTGAATACTCCAATAGCGTACATCGAGTCTAAATGTTTCCCTATCATTCAACATGGGAAGTTCTAGAAGATAATTACTCAGAATATTCTTAAGAATAACCTGAATACCTCCAATAGGTACACGATGTCTAAACTGATTTCCCATCTCATCAACAGAAGTTAAGTTTCTAGAGAATATTACTCTAGAATATTCTTAAGAATAACCTGATACCTCCCAATGGCGCTACACGAGTCTAAACTGTATTCCCACCCTCAACAGGGAAGTTTCTGGGGAGAATATTAATTCTTGATATTCTTAAGATAACCTGAGGAATTCTCAACTGGATATACCATATGCATATGGTAAATTTGCCGAATTTCACAGAGCAAGTATCAATTCAATTCAAGGATCTCGACAACGGTCAAGCGTAAACGCGACGCCGGAGAATGTTAGCTATCTACGAAGAACTGGATAGACTAACAGCAGAGCAGGTTAACATTGAGCCATTTACAACGTCCTTTCATACGATCTATTCGCAAGCATTGAAGGGATCCTAAGTAAATCGTATCTTATCCAAGTATCCCATGCTCCTCTATCAAAAGAATGAGTCTGGAATACTTTGGAGGGGTATCTGTAGGCGTCAAAAAATGCTAATAGATATCCCAAGCATAGAGAAGATCACTCAAAATATTCACTAAGAAAGATTTCAATACTTTTTTGGAATAAATCAAAACAATATGAACTGTCTCGCCAGGAAGAGTCTTTGCTGTCTCGCACGCGGCAGACAGTCCTGCTGTCTCGCCAGCGATACAGTTCCTTGCTGTCTCGCCAGCGAGACAGTGTTGAAATAGTCAAAACACATTTGTAACTGCCCTACGCGTGTCCATTAACTACCAAGGGACGTGGGAAACATCATAGGGCAAAATCACGTGATAACTGTCAAAATAACGGAGTTTGAAACGTGAGAGAACAGTTACAGCGAGAAACTACCATTTCCGAGACAGCATTTACTGTCTCGCTGAGCCGAGACAGCAAATTTACTCGTCTCGCGGGTTAAGACAGCAAACGCATGTCTCGCCAGCGAGACAGTAAACAACCTGTTTCGCCGTACTGACTTCTCGATTGTTAAGTTTTGCAGTTACTGACCCTTGAGACTATAAATACCCCCCTAGGGGTCACTTTCTGACGCAGATCGAGCATTTGTTAGGGCATTCCAGAGCAGAAGAGAGCAGAGATTTGAGTTTTTCTGCAACGCCTTGAATTAAGCTCGACTTGATTTTAAGAAGAACGACTATCTTACTTCGATAGATATCGTTTCAATTTCTACTTCGATAACGAAGTTAGAATCATAAGCCCCCCTCTTCACGATCTGTGAATCGGCGGTCACGACCAAAGCGTTCCCGGCACAGCAAGTCCACGAAAACGAAAATGATAGACGATTTTCGTGTTTGTTTCTCAAGAGTTTAATTTTTGTTTTTGTTGTGTAGAAAAAGTCTTATAAAAAGATTATTCTTTCGAATTTGTTGTAATCGAACAAAGTTATAATGAATTCCACAGCAGCGACTTTTGAAACCCAAACAATGGGGTAGGGAGAGATGAGAGATGAGAGAGAGAAAGACAGAGAGATCAACCGATGAGAGGAAAACACAGGGAAAAAATACCCCTTAAAATATAATTTAAAAATACAAAAAATTAAATCAATAATTATTAAAAATTTATGATCAAAATAATAATACTAATAACAATACACATAATAAATAATTAACTATTAATTTAAAAGTTTTACCGAAATAATTAAATTTATAATTTAGCAAAACTATTAAAATAATACAATACAGTATTTTAAATCGTAGAAAATTCTAGGAAAAATTGGGGAAATTACAAATACTCTTTTAGAAAAAAAATAATATTTAATATTTAAATACCAGAAAATTATTTAAACCCGTATTAGAAATTTACGGTCATTACAAAAAGTTACCCTCCCTTCCCCTCACCCCCATTACCCTCAATCCAAACAAGCCTTTAGGAGGTGAAGTTAATTCACCCTAGTTCTCCTTGGTTCACCCTCTAATACTATAAAATTTGTTACCCCCCAAATTGGGGTGTAACCAAGAGGAAGGGAACTCCCTTCCCTTCCCTTCCCTTCCCTTCCATTCTCTTCTCTCAGTTTCCCTTAACTTCCCTTCACCCCCTACAAATCCAAACAGGCCTTTAGAGTATCTCCAACAGCTTCCTCATTTCTCACTTTTGGAGAATTTAGTTAGGTTTTTGGTCCAACAGATTCCTCATCCCATTCCCCAAAATAGGGATGGAAGAGAAAAAATGTGGAAGCTTCCCCAAATCTGCAGCATTCTCTAAATTTTTGAAGGAAAAAAAGAGATTCTTCAAAATAGAGAAACTGTTGGAGTTGGTGTAAAAATTAGTCGAAGAATATGACTTTTGTTTCCCCATTTTAAAGAAAATTTTGGAGAAACGGTTGGAGACGGTAAACTCCCAAACACACCATTATAGTAAACTCCCAAACACACCAAAAATCTCGCCCTCTCTCTTCCTCCTCCGAAAAAAGAAGGAAAAACAAAAAAAATCCTTAAAAAAAAAATGGGAGGGAGCAAGAACAAATCCCAAGGATTAGGTCGAGCTCTGATCCGCCATCACAATCAACAAGTCCAGCAATCCAAGGAGCGGAGCAAATCCCTGCGTCAGCAGAGTCGGGTTCTCGAGTCCATCACCGACGTCACCGACATCGACGCCGTCTTAGAGCGGGCCGAGGAGGCCGACCGCCTTTACTCTGCTGACAACCCCGCCCCCAATCTCCTCATCAACCTGTAAGTCCCTTTTTTTTTCATTGAAATTTGTTTTAGTTAGAAATGGAGTAAGATTACAGGTTAGTACCCCTGAACTCTTGATTGGTTTTGAGATTGTTAGGGATTCGGATGGGGGGACGTCGGCTGATGAGAGGAGGAGGCTGCAAAGGGAAGAGGAAGCTCTGCATGCTGGGAGCCTTCGAGTTCCTCGCAGGTTTGCTGCTTTTATTTTGATTTACGGTGTGATTTGTAGCTTCTTTTAAGTTTATAAAGTTTTGATTTTGGTTGTTGCTGTCTTTACCTGTTCAGGCCGCCATGGAATGCCAGGATGTCGCTCGAGGAGCTTGACACTAATGAGAGGCGAGAGTTTTTAGTGTGGCGCCGAAATCTTGCAAAGTAAGTTTTATCCCCTCCCCCTCTTTTCAAATGACTATGTGTAGTGAACTAGCGGGAAATTTTGGTGTATAATTCTATACAAATTGGTGATGAATTGCCAAGAGCAGGAAGTACCAGCTCCTCGGATTATGAAATTACGGGCATGATCGTACTATGAAATTATCTTTTGTTAGTTTAGCCTTGGATGTCGAGGAAATGTTTATTTCAGGTAGTAAAAGTTCTTTCTTTAGGAAGTTCTGTTCTGATGCCCTTATGTGGTAGTCATCTAGTCGGGGAGGAAGAGGATCTCTTTTTAGAAAGAGCTCAACTCTTGGGATGCAAGTCTGTTCGATGACTTCTCTTCTTGGTATGCTACGTGAATTTTATGTGTGATATGGTTAGGTAATCGGATGTCTTTATCCATCGGTAAATTGTCGAGAACTTTCTTGTTTCGATGTGAGCTATATGTGTTGATTTGATCTCGTTGGATGTATTAAATTGTAGGCTTACTATCACCACTTCTGGCTGTGAAATTTATCAGCTTTGATTCATAAGAAAAGTGATGTTTTTTTTCTTTTCTTAGGTCTCTAAAAGTTCTAAAAAATGTCTTTATTATTGTCTTATTTGAATGGAACAAAACTACTAGACCTTTTGTTCTGTTTACTGTTTCTCACCTTTTGGCCTTTATATGTGAGCGGATTCTACTTTCGTTTTTTCTGATAAACATTATTAGATTATGGATATTGTATAACTAATATAATTTTTTGAATTTACTCAGAAGAATGTAGCCAACATCTGTATGATGACTGATCTCCAATTCATATCGTTTTCAAATGTTATATGTACTAGGATCATATTGCTTGTTAATGTTATGTATTTATATTATTTTAAATATAACACGAGGAAGCATTTTGTTTTCTCATGGCTCTATGTACTAGTTCGAGACTTCTAATTGCATGTTACGTTTAACTTTTATGGCTTTAAACAAAACATGAAGATTCATTGCAACAGTCTCTATTTTTCAATTCTTCTGCATTAGTTGCCAACTTAATAAACCTTATTTTATACACCATGACCAATGTTTTTCATGTATTTTTTAAACGAGACTTGAGGAGAATGAAGCTTGACCTTATTCCTTTGCTGACGAATCTTGATTTCTGGAGGCAACTTCTCTAACAATAAGTTTAATGATGTAGATGGTTTGATAATGTAGCTTACGAAGAGTCAAGAGAAGAAACATGGAAGAAGAGAGATAGTAAGGTCTCATTCTCAAAGAACAGCTCAAATCATTCTCATCCTCTACTTTCCTTCATGCTATTCACCCTTTTTCAAGGCATTACTTTCTGAGAGAGAAGATAAACTTAATAGAACTCTTTATCTTAATCCAAAGAAGCTGAAACTAATCCTAAAATTAGAACGAAAACCTAAATAGTATACAGACGTTCTTTTCACATGAGTTGTAATTGCTAAGTAGTAACTTAAATCTTATTCCTCTAAGATCTGAACCAAATATTCTACTTAATCCAAAATTAACCTTTGCTATTAATAAAATCTGATACCGTAATAAGTCCTAATTGCTTAATGGAATACTAGCTAAAACTACATCAATTTTCTTCCTATGCAGAAATTTCTCCCTTGAGATGTGTCCTCGGCACTCTGCTTCCGTACTCTATTGCAGAATCTTGATAACCTGATGATAAAAGCCAACAAATGTTCTTCTGATTATGGGAAGATGCTAAAAGAACTCCAGTGATAGCTGTGGATTAATAGAAATAAAATAAATCTCTAGACCCTAACTTGCTAGTTGTAAGCACCAAGAGTAAAGTGTGAACTCACAAACTCTTCATTAGGAAGATCTCAACTTGTATGACACTTAATACAGTTGAAACGTGGATCCATAAGAGATACAGGTACTGGATAGTGGATACGCAGTCTCAGAACAACATAGGGGACACACATGTACGTATCTGGTCATATGATATATGTTTATGTGTATGTATAATATGTTTATGTGTACTTGTATGTTAAAGTTACAATAGATTGTTCTAGTTAATTTAGAAACTTCTGTATAATGTAAGAAAGTTTTATACAAGAAATATATTATAGTTTGTAACTTGAAAAAGATAGAAAATTTGTTTAATGCAACTCTTAACTAAATATTGAATGGTATTTTCCTCTTTATGTGATCAAAGACCCTTGCAGGAAGTGGTTGAGCTGGTTTATTTGTATCTGTCATTGTACACCTCAATGAGTTTGTTCAGTTTGGCATCAGACATGGTGAAATTTGCAAGAGGATCATGTTGGTTGATACCACTCTAATCTATGACTATTAATAAAGAAAAGCTATCCTTTTGGTTCTAACTATTGGTCTATACCCCTATGTGAGTCACAAATTCAAATAGTTCCAAGAAATGTCCTCAACAATTTGTACTACATTCGAACTAATGGAAAGGGCAAGCATGGAAAATCCAAAATGACCCTTGAACTGCCCACTACTTAATAAGTACCCCACTTTTCACATTCCTAGCCATTCCAAGTTCTTATTGATATTTGTCACCGATAACCTCTGTTCACTAATGAACAATGTTGGCATTTTCTCACCCATGAAACCCACTGATGCAAATGCAAAATAGAGGCAGAATGATCTGTGATTGAATCAACAGAGCAAAGAAATTAAAACCTTAGATAATGAAAAGATGAATAAGGTGAGTCATGATTAATTGTCATGGATGCAACACGTTTGTTTGGGATAACTTCTTCATGCTTATTTAATTTTACAGAACAAGTAAAGTTGTGGATACAGTCAGGTTTATGGGCATCTTGTTTGAAATTTGAAAAGTAAGCTAACACAGCAGATGTGCAAATTCACATCTTCGTCATGCATATATGTTTGATAGTAGTTAAACACTTTTTACTTGGTAGCGACCACGTTCATGTTATGCTTGAATAATATTTGGCTAAAGTGAATTAACTCAAAATATGTCGTCTAGGAAAAAAAAATTGTGTTATAATGCATTATTAATTTCTTAATTGTTACACATTCGTATCAATTTTGGCAATAAATTTTTTACACGTCTATTTATATTATCGTCAATTATTACGTTTGTTGCTAACAGTTTTTTTCTACAAATCCATTACCTTGTCATGCACACATCGCGTGCATTGGGAGTACAAGTATAGCTTATGGATGAGAGAAAACAAAGAGAAGAAACAGTGACAAGAAAGATATCAAGGCCTAAGTCTTGACAAAGTTACTAAATTGATATTCATTCTCTACTTCATACTGTTTAAACCTATTTAAAGATGTTACATCTTAATATATTAGGTAAAATGGGATAAAACTTTATCTAATCAATACCAACTCAGGATTAAGAAAAAATGAAACATAAATTAAGAACAAATTTACTGTTCATATGAACTGTTTTTCCCTTTAAATAACGACTACACTTATGCATGACAAAATATTCCACCTAATCTGCAACTATAAACTATAAATAGATCCTAGTAATAAAGTCTTAGCTAACCTTTTGCAACATGATTAGGTGATTGTGAGTTGTCATTGACTATTAGTTTACGCATCTACAATTCCTTTTTTTTTGGGGTGTGGGGGATATTTGCTAGATGGTTTTATTCTCTTTTCCAATCCTTATGAAATATTCTGGAGATCTCTTTTTTGTGATTCTTTATGTTTGTCTTCAATTCTTCATTAACTTGTTAAGTAGAGTAACTGCAGAACTTTTATATTTGTTAGCTGAATGTTTACTGTGTATGCTTCTCATAATGTCTTTTTATCTACAGACTTGAGGAGAATGAGAACCTTGTCCTTACTCCTTTTGAGAAGAACCTGGATATTTGGCGACAACTTTGGCGAGTGCTTGAAAGAAGTGACCTAGTAAGTTTTGTCCTTCTAAAGTTTTTGCACTGTTGGAGTGTTGGGTTATAGTTTTTTGAGTTCAGTCTCATGAAGTTTTGCCAAGTAAAAGTTTTAACATGTATATCATCTAATTTGATTACCACTATTCGTAATTTAATATTCTTCTAGTTTGTATATCTTTTTTGTCAATCCCACTGAAAGAACAGTTGGGGATAGAAAGGTTCATTTCAGGAGCTGCTAAGTTTGCTAAGTTTTCTGTGTCAATACATTAATTTGTTTATTTTAATCATAGAAAAAGAGAATTTTCTCCTTCCATATCATGCCTATTAGCTGTCAATTAAAGTGCAAAAACCTTTGGCAGAAGCTTCTTAGCGATGATTTCGTTATGAACCTTTCTGGAGCTACACGGTTTGTAGTCTGTACTTTTCGCTGGCAAATATCAGAAAGAAGCCTTAACATTATAGCAGTTCCTCTCTACAATCATGTCGTATACTTACTCCTTGTTTACTTTCCAAGTTAATTTATGTTTCATTGATTTTAGTTGTTCTGCTAATGTTTTTTGGCTTTTTGCTTGTTACAAAACTATTTCCCCTCTGATTTTAGTTGTTAAACATCTTAAGTATAGGTTATGCATAAATTACCCAATAGCTTTTCACTTGGACTAGTGTGGGCTCTTGTTGGTAAGTTACAACTTCTCTATTTTCTCTCCTAGGGTAGCTTGAATCTTTTTTCTAGGTTCGGAAACCATGTCTGCCTGTTAAAAATATATTCTAGTTTTTGGACGAAATATATTTATTTCACCAACATTAGCTATATAGATGAATTGGCACAACAACAAGAACAATACAGCAAGGAAGCCAGTATCCCAAATCATTTTATTAATGGATCAGATCAGATACACATAAAAGGAAAAAAAAAGATAAATTACTTTTTTTCCTTCCTCTCGTGTCAATTATATTCTTTGAAAATTGGCAATTTTCTTAAGTACAGGCAAACAAATCTCTCATCTTTATTGCATTTGACTATCTCGTTAAACACCGAGGACATAATTAGAGGCAGGCTTGATCTTCAGACATTATCCTGTTTGATGTGCGCCTAAGAACATGTTTAGCAAGTGGCCAAAGTGGCTTATAAGCCACAAAATGTGGCCTACAAGCCATTTTGACATGTTTGGCAAATAGCTTACTTTGGCTTATACGGTAACATAAAATAAGCTCAGGTATTCAGCTTATTTTTTGGTGGCTTATAAGCCACAAGGGTTGACAGTATAAAAAGACCAATATACCCCTCATCATTTCACAAAATTCCAAGCCCCATTTATCTCTCTCCAATCCTATTGAATGCTTTTTGGTCATTTTGATGACAATGATGACTTTGATGACAATGATGACTTATAAGCCCCTTGTTTGCCAAACACTATTGAAAATGGATTATAATCCACTAAATTTACCAAACACTTTGGCTTATAAAACTAATCAGCTTATAATCCAATTATGGATTATAAGCCACGTGGAATATAATCCAAAGTTGCCAATCACGCTCTAAATAATTTCTCTGTGTATTTTATGTTGTGCCCATATTGAATGAAACAAGTAAATTCCTCTGTTGCAGAACCAACTTATATATCACATTATATGGTTGTGGCACAACTGAATATGCTAATACTCAATGGACTTAAAAAGTTCAAACGCTGTCAGAAATAACATGAATACACAGATTGTATTGTGTGCTCCTGTCCTCCATGCTATAGTATCTTTTACACGCTTCATTTATGACTAATCTTTTTGTGCTTAGGAGTCATACATTATTATATGGCTAGATATTGTAATCAACTACTTTTGTTAAGCAACTGATTTTATAAAGAGGAGAGTATACACATCAGCAGTGTTTTCAATGCGCGAGGTGCAAAGTTAGTTTATGCACACATGCGCAAGGTGCAATGCAATGCACGTGCCTGAGTGAAGCAAGGCGCACTCCAGACCACAAAAATTTTGAAGATATACAACATGCATGTAAAAATATATTTGTGAAATTTCGCATAAAAGATATCAAGGACTCAAGATAAATAAACTATATACAACCAAATCACAAGATAAAGTTTTAATCATCGAAGCAAATCAAGTTGTCTATCAAAACAAAGCAACTAAGCCACTAGAACACTTAAGGAGTTCACTAACATCAAAGCAAAACAAACAATCTAATAAAACACAAATAAGTAGCAAATTAATAGTCTAATGACTCTAATCATCATCATTAACATCATCATCATCCCCTTCAAGGGAAATATATTCCTCTTCAATCTCATCATCATTAAACTCATCTTCATCTTCCGACTCTGAAACCGGCTCTCTCCTCCTTAATGATGAACTACTACCATTCGAAGATCCTCGAAATCTACTAGTCGATCTTAGATATCTAGCATCATATTCTTCAGCTCCCATCGCATCTCTTACGACACCATATGTAAGGTCGTCCTTGCCCTCCACTAAGTCATTCTCTGTATTTTCATATGCACCGAACTGCCCTAACAACCACTCGTTGCTTTCATCTATATCAGCAACTTAATCGGATCGATAGAATCTCTGCAGTCAAATCTCTTCTTTAAAGCTTGCTTGTACTTGCAGTAAACTAGATCTTGCAGCCTTTTATAATCCAATCTATTCCTCTTCTTTGTGTGTATCTGTAATTTATACGAATCAATCAAATCAATATCTATATCTTTAAGAAAATTCAATCTATTTTGTTGAATAAAATAAAACTAATCATATTTGCTCAAAAGTACTCTAATTTTTTCACAGCCAGAGGAGCTACAAGTAAAGCTGAGGACTCTAATAACAAACTTCTGCAACTCTGGTGCTGATGCACCATAAGACTCCCACCAATCAGCTGTCAATTAAATAGAGTGTGGTTAGAAGTGTATTTCCTATAGAAATCTAGTCAATTGAGGGTTAATATTATGGATATTTACTTGAAGATTTTTTCTTTCTGTTTCTCTTAAGTCTTAACTATCTCCATACCAAAAAGATCCTCAGCATGCCTGTATATATCTAACTGTCTATCAATCTTGTCTTTGTCTTGTGTGGGCACCATCTTCTTAATGACTGGATAAAAACCTTTCATGACTTCATCGCCTTGGATGTTTGGATGGTCATAGAAAAATGCAGGATTAAGGTAATACGCTACAACATGCAAACGCCGATGAAACTGATCCTTCCATCTCTTATGAATGATATCAAATATCTCAGAATATTTTGTTGAATCGTCAATAAAGGCTCTAGCAATAGCCTCCTTAGCTCTATCCATTGCCTCATAAATGAATCCATAGCAAGCTTCTTGTCACCATCAACAAGTTTCAGAACACCAACATTAGGAGCCGTGAGCTTGAGAATACAAACAATGTTATTCCAAAAAGATGGCATATGACCTATCCTTTCAGCTAATTTGTCGTTTGAATCTCTTGTCCATTTACTTTGCCTCCATTGCTCCAAATTAAACATCTTATTGAGGTTATTTTATTGTTTATGGATGCTTGACAAAGTCATAAGTGATGTGGCAAATCATGTGACTGCATGCCTAAGATGCTCTCTGCCGTTAGTTTCACCTCTCATCAGCTTCAAAACCCATGCATATGAATAGATGAATCATGTCAACTCCATAGCTTGACTCAAGGTTAACTTCACAGATGATAGTTTACCAATATCCTTCAGCATGAGATTGATACAATCAGCAACACATGGAGTACAATATAAATGTGGATACTCTTTTTTCAATTCCGCTACTATAATAAAAAAGAAAGATCAATATTAGAGCATCCTCACATATGCCGCCATTTGTGATCTTATTACAAAATATGCACTTGTGTCCATTGGAGTTCTCATTATCGACTAGTGAAGTGTATTTTCACGTAGGATCTTGTCTTCTACCACTACCCGTTGATGAAGACATGTTTATACCACAAGGTCCAAAACACAAAATTTTCTATTAATCACATGCATTATGCAACGAGATATTTTCAATTTTCAACAGTCATGTATTTTGTAATTTGTATTGTTAATTTAGTATTAAAAAATAAGCAATTAGATCATAGCCTCATTACCATAAATCTGTATAATGATGAGTGACATTTACTAAAATGTAGAGATTTACTAAAACAAAGTTAATAAACATAAAATTAAACAATTAGCTTCAATGAGACGTGTCACCGTCACATACTACCAAGTAGTCGATGATCTCAAAATATGCAAATAAACCACCCAAGCCTGAACTTGTGAGAGTAGCCAGCAGTAAATAACAAGTTAGGGAGATCCATTCAACCTAAGAAAAAAAGGAAAAACAGAGCAGCAGCCAGCAGCAAACAAAAACTAGGGGTCGACTCAACCAAAAAAAAAACAAATAAAGAAAAATGGAAGAGAACCAAGAAGAAAACAGCAGCCAGAAGCAAAAAACAAAACAAAACAATGGAAGAAAAAAAAAAGAATGAAGCAACATCCAGCAAAATAAAACAAAACAATGGAAGAAAAAAAAAGGAAGCAACAGCAATAAAAAAATAGAAGAGGAAGAAAAACTTGAAAGAAATGACGGAGAACATACCTCACTAGAGGGGAATCCCTCACAGCAGCCCTTGAGAAGAGATGGAAAGGAGAAGCCAGACGCAACCCTTGAGAGGAAACATAAGTGAAAAGAAGTGGCTTTGAACCCTAAACTCAGATTTGACATCTTGGATAAGGTTACATTTGAATCAGGTTTAAGTGAACATTGGGTCCATACCCAATAAATATAGCTCAAACGCCTCAAGATCTGAGGCTCTCGCCTCGTTCAAAGCGCGAAGTGCTTGCGGGGTGAGGTGAGACGCTTGCCCCACGCAAGCACAACGCCCCGCACCCAAGGCGGGGTGTTGTTCCACTGTCCCGCAATGCCTTGCACCCGTGGCGCGCGCTGAAAACGCCTTTAAAAACATTTACATTAGTATCTTATGCGGTCATATGAACATATGCTGCCATCATAGTCTCATAGATTCATAGATGAAATGAGGTCTTGGAACTGGTGTGAACAAAGACTTTCACTTGCATTTATGGCTGATTTTTTTTCTTGTTTATTTATAGCACTAAGGGCATTAGCCTCATGCCTTTTTTAATTTTAATGAATGAACCTTGTTCAAGGTTGCATACATGAACTTTATTGATCTTTGAATTATCTTTGGACTTCTAATTTGACATCTCCTCATTCTTTAATGAGGATTGTAATTCTATGTTTTGTGTTGCATAAGTGGACTTCACTTTATTGAACTTTGAATAATCTTTGAACTTCTAATAAACACCTTCCTCGTCCTTTAGTGAAGATTCTAATTCAGTGTTGTATTTTCTCTAGTTGGTGATGGTTGTTGATGCTAGGGACCCATTGTTTTACCGGTGTCCTGATCTTGAGGTATGTGCTTATTTTGAAAGTTCATGAAGTTTTTTTTCTCTTCTTGTTTTCTACCTTTCTTGAGAAACTAGCAAACCCTCCCCCTGCATGCCCCGCTTAACGTGGGAAGAGTCCATACTCTAACTGAAAAATTGAGAAACCAATTTCTCTAAAATAACTTCATTTCAATAGTCGTAAATGTCAAAAAAGTAAATTTAACGTTCACGAAAAAGTTAACAGAGTTCAACGAGTTTGATAATAGATGTGATATACATTGTTTGTAACAAGGTTACAGAACGCGCTAGGCCCCTAGGTGTTGGACCCAACACCTAGAGCTAAGCCTAGGCGGGGCCTAGGCATTTTCCTCTTTTTTAGTTTTTAATTACAATTACTGATAGTAAAAGCTAATGTTATAGAAAGCTCGGGCGCCGAACTGACACTTGGGCATATTTCTTAATTAGAGAAGGTTTTGCTGAAGGTCAGAAGAGATAGTGGAGGTGTTCATAGTTGGAGGCTAGAGGAGTTTGAAAGAGGTTGGAGGACGTGGAGACTGCAATGAAGGAAATCACGATCAATGCCTAAAAGGTGCAATCCATGTAGGCATGCCTATGTGCTGCTTAGGCTAGGCAGGCAGCTGAGCCACCGCCTAAACCTAGGTGTACACCCAGGTTGGCTAGGCGGAGGCTTTTTGAAATAATAGTTTGTAACAACCGTTAAATTTAGAAGCACTGGGATTATGATTCATAATAAACAGACATCCAGGTTATCCGGACACTTCATCTAGCCTCCCATATTTGTGTACGTACATTCCGTATCTATGTCCGTGTCGGACACTCCTTGAACACTTGTTGAATATGTACATACATTTATGTAGATGTGTACTCAATTTTATAACACACATTTTAGTTTAAAAAGCTTGTGATACACTTCTTGTACGTATATTTTACACTTCACCTCAAATTTATGTAACTCATTGGACTTAGAACAGGATTGTCTTAGCACATACCTAGTTCATAAATATGATTTTAAAGGGTTGTTTCGGTATCTAGCTCAAAAACAAGCATTATTTCAATTTATAATCTACTCAATAATAGAGACGTAAAAATGGTATAAGTATTTTAGATCTCATAACATGTGAATGGAAAGCAATATCGATCTCATATAGATTATTAATTTTGACATATATGTAATTATGTATATAGTCGTGGCCCATGTTCCAATAATCCTAACTTTTATAATTTTTCCGTGTCCTATTTCCGCACCCGTGTCCGTATCCATGCGACATAGACAAACATATATACATATAGAACAATAGAGAATCTAATCAAAGTCTGCTTAAAAGGCATACTGTCTAATCAAAATATAAAGTATCTAGAACTATTAATATTTACATAGCAAAAGGGGAAGCAAGCAAGTATGAATTGTTGATGGTGGACAGCCTTTACCGGGATTCTTCAGTAGAGTCGGCTTCAGAAGCAATATTATGTTTGATTTTATTGCAAGCGGTAGAACCAGCTCCTTTGTCAGAGCATGTGTATGAGTTAGTACTTTTTAGAAGGGTCTCAACTGTGTTGTGCACTAGGGTGCTCTAGGCAACCAATCCAAGGTAACTTACTATGTATTGCCTTCAAGCTGGAGTTGTGATTTGCAAAATCATGGTGAAAGACAAACTTGAATTTGTTTCTGTGAGCTTTGGTTATAATAAGGTTGTGTATTTTGAACAGCTTATTGTCCTAAAATCATATGAAATTGGTCTATTTTAGCTCTTTAAATTTGCATATTTTATTTCTATCTCAATTTTTTTTTTCATTTGACGTTAACAAAGGTCGAAACTATAATATTTAGAAGTATACCCTAATTACAGTTGCTCAAGTTTTGGAGCAGGGACATGGAGAATTTCCTCAAGGTCATGGTTAAAAATTAGCAAGTTAAGCTATCAGTATCATCCTTGACATCACTTGTGATATTGTACCTCAATGTTGTTTTCCCTTGATGATTGGCACATAGAGAAAATAATACAAAGAATTTTCATGCACATATTGCAAAAGGAAAGAAGCAGTTGAAAGCACTTGAAAAACTGATGACATTCGTTTCACACGACTCTTAGAAAACAAGAGATTGACAACCCAAGTGAAGAGAATTACTATAATGCGTATGCTTAATAGAAAATTCCAAAGACTAAAATTGTAATGCTCCACATAAAAATAGTGGCAGTGATTTGTTTGTGTTTACATTATACATAACAAAATCTCAAGTTCAAGAATCTAAAGAAGCAAATCAAAAAAGATACTACAATTTCTATCGGGGAATTGAATTTAACTCCCAACATTCTTTTGATAATGTAGAATAACCTTGAAGACAAACTTAAAGAACCTGATCAATCTATTCATACTCAAAAACTAAAAAAATAAAAATAAAAATGAAACTACATCTGCATCAAAACAGAAGCTATCAGATGCATATAACAAATTTGATCATATATGAATTCTACTAATTTAAATACCATTACTTATGGATGTAACCTTGAATTAATTTGTGCAATATTTTTCATAAATTTCACCCAAAAAGTATGCTCAAAGTAGATTTCGTAGGTAAATAGAATTTAAATAGTCACTTACTAAGATAAATCTTTAAACCTCTATGTGGAGTAGTCATTCTAGTTAGAATTTTCTAACCACTTAATACGTACTCTTGGAGGATTAGTGCTAATTATCTCTACTTAATTCACAGTCTTGCCTAAAACAGAATCTAAGTAGAAAGCTTGTTGAACATATCATTGTTATCGAGGCGCACGCCCCTGGCGCGGGGCGCTGCGGGCTGGGACAATTGCCACGCACACGCCGGGCGCGGCGCGCGCCTCCCTTGTGCCTCACGCGCGGCGCGCGCCTCGTGTGCGCTTGACACCTGCGTCATGTAATAGACTCTTTCTTCTGTTTTTTAAAAATAATTTACATATTACATATTTACATCATGTAATAGATTTTTTCTTGTTAGTTGCTAATCCATTCTCCATCTTTTCATGTTTAACCTATAAAAAGGAAACAATAATTAGTAATTTAGTATACTTGTTTGCTAATTGTAACTTCCTTCTCTAATTAGCATGCTAACTAAAAAATTATGAACATGTAAATATGTAATTGTTAGCTCCCTCCATTCTCCATCTTTTCATGCTAACTAGCAAATAACAATTAAGAATGCTAACTAGAAATTATGAACAATCATGTTTTATTAATCACTTAATTGTTACTTAAAAATACATATATCATATTTTAAATGAAAATGCATATTTCTTATTTGTTACTTGCTTGTTTTGTTTCATAGACTTTTGCTTTTGTTGGAGATTATCTTGCATTGTGATTTGTGGAAACTTATGAACTTATCTATGTTATGCATGCTAATTAAGACTCTTTCGTGATTTAGTAGGTAAAATTATATTTCTTGGTCTTTTTATGTGACAATTTATAAACATGTTGCTTATATATTTTTTTTTGTTTTATGTTGGAAAATATTAGTTTGAGTTGTGCGCCTTAATTCAGTGAGACGCGCGCATCATTGTGCGCCTTGCGCATGGTGCGCGTAAGGGGCCGCCTTGCGCCTCGATAACAATGCAACATATCAACTAATGTTTTGTTTAGTTTTCAATCGTAACTTTTAGTTTTCTTTCTATCCATTCTCAAAGTAGTTCTATATCAAACTTTCATATATGTTTCTCTCTAGAAAGTAAAAATCTAACAATGCACTGATATGAAAAGTGTTAAGCATTATAGAGTTGAGTCTACATCATCCTCAGTGCATAATTTAAAAAGCATCAAATCATTTAATATTTTGTGTGAAACCAAATTACTTACCGAATTTTTGTTAACAAAACCCATAATTATGTAAATTTAGTTATAAAGCAAAGCATGATGAAAAGAGATTACGGTCTTACTCATATTTTAGGAATTTAATAAATTTTATATGTCATGTCAAGTTATAGATGTTGGCAGAGAGGAGGGGGTGAATAGCGTTGCCTTGAAAACAATATTATTTTTAAAAAGTTTTGCAACTAAATAAGCGGAAACAAATAATCAACCAAACATTCAAACTCAAGCACAATAACTTTTACATGGTTCAGCACGATGCCTACATCCACAGAACCTACATCCACGAATTTCAGAGCAGTGAAATCGATCCGCTATCTAAGAAAGTATCGAACTCCCAAGTTCGTCCAAGCTATTACACCCAATCCTATCTGATGTCACCAATGTGTAAAGTTAATACAACTTTTAGATACTCACACCCAATCTATCCCACAACTAAGAATCCCAACGAGATCACTTATTCTTAACCCTGATCTACTAGTTTACAATTCAAATTGAAAGGTATTAAGTTGAAAATATGTCCCTAAACAATTGAGTTGATCTTTTGGAGATGATGTTGATGGCAATGCGAAGATCTCCTCTGAGTTGTAGCATGGACGTCGTCTTCAAACCTTCAAGAGATCTATAAGAAGAAAGGCTCTGAGAATAAACTTCCGATGAAGTATCCTAGCTCCAATCTTTTTTTCTCAAATTCTAAATATAATTTTCTGCAATTAGACTTCTCTTCTGATCAGGAAAATAACCCTTGAAGCCCTTACAAAGAATTATAAACTACAAACAAACGACTCAAATTACATCTCAAAAATCCAAATGTATTTGCCCAAACACGCGAACCGGCCTATTGAGATTCAGCTAGGCGGCTAAAATTAGCTTAGCCACTTGATTTAGACAAGGTTGCTGATAGCGGATCGCGGCGCGTCGCGGCGAGGGACCGCTAAGGCTATATCGGGCTATTGCGACGAAATCGCGGCAAATAGCGCATAGTCAAATAGCGGTCAAATTTAAATATATTTAAATATCCTAAATAATAAGAAAATTCATAAAAAAATCTAAAAATTCAATTAGTTATAAATTTCTTGTATTATCAATAAATAACAATTAATAAGCTTGTTGTATGAATAAAACTATGAAGAAATTCAAGAAATATAGTATCATAATATGTGTGATAGCGGGTTTAGCGGGTTTAGCCGCTTTTAACAACAAAAATCCGCTTTTAACCGCGAAAATCCGTTTGTAACCGCGAAAACCCGCTTTTAACCCGCTAAAATCCACTTTTACGCGCTATTCAAATGAATAGCGGATTTTTCCGCTTAAGCCAACCGCGAAACCCCTACGCGTAGCGCTGAAGGGCCGCGACCGCTATTTGCGCCGCTATAGCCCCGCTATTGGCCGCTATTTACAATACTGGATTTAGAGTCCAGCCGTCTCTGACAGAAAAACTGAGAAACCATCCTCTGTCTTGATAATATCAGCTAGCTCATTCTTTTGACTAGCTGATTTGATTTCTTTAAGCCGCTTGCTTCAAATGACCAGCCGACTAATGTCCCTCTTCAGCCTTGTGCATGTTTTCAGCTTTCTTTTGCATGTTTTTAGATATCTGTTTTTTTATGGCCAGACGACTGTTTTTGCTACTGTTGCTACTACTCAATTTTGCATAACACCATGTTCTTGCCATTCTTCTCTTATCATGACTTCATATACATGGTTAGGAGTAATTAAACACTTTCATAACCTACACTCTTCATCTCCAAAGATCATCAAATACATAAACGTTTGTTATTAATCAAATCGAGTTGATTGTGTGATCAACATCCAACAGTAGATTTTTTTTTGAGAATAAAACATCCGACAACAGATACCCTTTGAATTTAGATCATTTTCTCCTGAAAATATGTACACCCAAAAAAGCCAAGACATATGTACACTATGATACGCATAAATTGCTCAAAAGCAAAAGCCATCACTAGAGACTGATTTACAGCTAATCTCTAATGGTTGACATGTTCAGATTCACACTCCAAGTCAACATCTATTGGTTCGACCTCCTCAAGTTCCGATTCCAAGTCAATCTCTATTGTTTCAACCTCTTCAGGCTCTATTTATGAGTTAATCTCTATTGGTTTGATCTCTTGGGGTCCCGACTTGAGTCAATTTCTATGGTTCTCTGTTTTCTATTCCTCTGGCTCCATGTCTCGTATATCTCTAGCATCTTCTGAAGTCCAATGGGCCTACCATTCATCCACAAGAATCCTATTGTCTTCCAGATCATTGATGATTGCTATTTGTTCCCTGCTTCTTTCTTAATTACATGATCAGGGTAAGGATCAAGGCCTTTAGTGCCTCGCATGTAAAAGTCGTCTTGTGCTATGTTGTAATCAAACCAATTATTAGCCATATCCTCATCCATAAAAGAGTTAGGTAAATCCACATGTAAATGGTCTAGTTTTTGGCGATAGGCCAAAATCACGTTAGGATCTATCTCGTTCGAGGACTATGTTAATAAACCCTTAGAATCATGTGTCCTATAACTCTTGACGGGAATCTGAGGAATAATCTACATCCTCTTCAATTTGAGTCTTATTCTCGGTTGAATCTTCCGTTCTTATGATGAGACCACTGATCAGTACCAAGGACATAAGTTTCAAAGAGTCACTACTAGCACCAATAGTAACCATCAAGAAAGCTAAGTACACAATTTGTTTTTATGTAGATTACATTTAATACTTATAAATCAACTGTGTTTTGATTTTTTTTGTAAAACTTATAAGGGGCTGAACAAGAAAAGTAAGCCTCTTGAATAAAAGGAACATAAATTTCAATATGATTGGAGTATTATGCAATAATGTGTTGCTTTTAACACCCAAAGTTCAAATGATTGCTGCTGGTGTTTTCCTGAAAGCTCATGCACTGTGTAAGCAACTAGAAATGAGAAATGCATGTCAACTCTACCAATAGCTTGGCACCTCCATTTTGTATAGAGTTACTTAGAGTGACTAAGACTATATAATCTGACAGAACTATGCTCATATGCATGTGCTTGATCATGACCCCAAAGAATTATAGCGACATAACATATTTATTGGTGATCTTATGTTGCCAACTAAGTCTTGGCATTTCATGAGTAAAAGGACTATCTTTGATGTGCAGGCATATGCACGTGAAATTGATGAGCACAAGAAAACTTTGCTTCTTGTTAATAAGGCTGATCTTTTGCCATTAACTGTGAGGTAAGTGGTAATAATCATCTTTCAACTTTCATAAAATTTCTGTTTGAAACAAATTAATACTAAATCTTTGATCTTCAGACAAAAATGGGCAAACTACTTCGACGCTCATGGAATTCTCTTTCTATTTTGGTCTGCGAAAGCTGCCTCCGCTTCTCTCGAAGGCAAATCATTGATCAGCTTAAATGAATCTCCTGGTAGTGAAGTTGCAGATACGAAGATCTATGGCAGAGACGAGCTCTTGGCTCGATTACAAGCCGAAGCAGAGGCAATTGCATCCCTTAGAAAGGTTCCAAACAAAAATGAAACTCATGGAAGCAGTTCTTCAGCATCGAAGCACGTAGTTGTGGGCTTCGTTGGCTACCCTAATGTAGGAAAGAGCTCAACGATTAACGCTTTGGTTGGCGGAAAGAGGACGGGAGTCACCTCGACCCCTGGAAAAACAAAGCACTTCCAAACGCTCATCATATCCGATGAGCTGATGCTCTGTGACTGCCCGGGTCTAGTCTTCCCTTCATTTTCCAGCTCCAGATACGAAATGATCGCGTCAGGAGTGCTGCCTATAGACCGAATGACTGAGCACAGAGAAGCTGTTCAAGTTGTAGCAAACCGAGTCCCACGACAAATCCTCGAGAATGTATATCACATCACTTTGCCAAAGCCAAAAGCTTATGAATCACAAACAAGGCCACCATCGGCTTCAGAGCTTCTGAGAACTTACTGTTCATCTCGTGGGCATGTAAGCTCTAGTGGTCTCCCTGATGAAACAAGGGCAGCTCGTCAAATTTTGAAAGATTTCATCGACGGGAAGATTCCACACTATGAACTGCCCCCAGGAACAATCAATGATGAACTGGGAAATGAATCGGATGCAAGCGATTCAGACGAGGAAGTACTAGAGGAACCGAGCTTGGATCAGGCGTTGGATGATCTCGAGTCCTTTGAGTTGTCTGGTGGAGTGTTGGGCAAAACTGCTGCTAGAGCTAAGAAGAAGAATGTGGGGGAAAGTTACAAGCATCATAAGAAGCCACTGAGGAAGAAAGATAGATCGTGGAGAGTTGGGAATGATAATGGTGATGGGATGCCTATAGTAAGAGTGTTTCAGAAGCCTGCTGTTAATTTCGATGCCATAAAAGCTTCCAATTTGAACTGAGGACTGTCAATTAAAATTGTGTATCGTTTGATAAAAGGTGACTTGTTTCTGGTACCATCTGTGGCTTGTTAAGCTGTTTCAATGATGTACAGTATGTGATCATGGTATTATTGTCTTCCTGGCCATTGTAATTGGGGTTTTTACGTTAAAATCACATTTACTTTTATCAAAATTGTTGCCTACCACATTTTGAAGTTTTTTTTAAATGAATATCACGTTGACTTGCGAACATGTTTGTAATGTTACGCATATTTGCGTTTTCAGCCAAAAAAAAACATGTGAAATGACAAAAATATCATGATCCCAAACACATGAAAAGGAATTTTTTTAAGTTTCAGTCCTCAAATGTTTCCTCTTTTGAAATCAGACCTCAAAATCATCATATTTTGAAATTAGTGTCGTAGCCATCTTTGACCGACCGACGTCATCCCGGTTGGAGAGAGTTGTAGGGAGGCGGATTTGTCGATCTTTTGCACCTTGCCTAGGGTTTCAAGGTGGTATTTTCTTGGATTGGAGGGGGAGGCAAGATTGAATGGAGATGAGGTTAGGAGGCAAGATTGAATGGAGATGAGGTTAGGGTTTGGGGGAAGATTGGAGTTTTTTTTTCTTTTTTTGGATTGGAAGGAGGGATGAGGATTGAGGGGAGATGAGGTTAAGGTTTGGGGATTGGGTCAGGGTTTGGGGAGTTGGGTAAAGAGATTCGTGGTTGTTTGAGAGAGAGGGAGGGGGAGAGAGAGAGAGATACTTGAGGGACTAATTCAAAATATGGATGACTAATATTGAAAAACCCCTTAAATTTATAATTAATTAGGACATAAGTACAAAGCACATGCCTTGGTTAGGGGTAAAATGGTCAGTTCACGTGTTTTTTCTTGCTAAAAATGCAAATAGGTGTGATATTGCAAACATATTGGCAAGTAAATGTGATATTGATAAATAAACAAAAAAAAACTATTAAAGATGAAAAGTAGCAATTTTAATAAAAGTAAGGGAAAAATGTGTCCAGGCCCCAAAAACAGAAACTTCATGTGCTGCAGCCCCTCCTAGTTTACCCCATGTGGTTCAGCCCCTTGAAGTGTGACATTTTGTGCTGCAGCCCTTTTTTTAACAATTATTACATGCCAGCTAAGATAAAATCCCCAAAATAACATTATCACCTCTCCTCAATCCTTCAAACCCAGTTCTCTCTCTCTCTCTCTCTCTCTCTCTCTCTCTCTCTCTCTCCTCTCTCTTTAAAAACAAGGGCTTTCTCAAGCTCGTCTCCCTGGCCCTCGCCCTCCTCGCCGTCGCCATCGAGATCAAAGGAATACAAATCAATTTTCCTTTATTTTTTTTTACTGCAAATTTTCCAACAGCTCGCCGTCGCTCCCCGTCTCACCCTCGACTACGCCAGAGTTCGCCGCTGTGCCTGCCACTTTTGAACCCTATAGTATGGTAGGCCGGAGGAGGATGACCAAGAGAAAAGAGTGCATGATGCCCAAGAAAAGTGAAAATGAAGGGGTTGCAGGCACAAGGCCACTCTTTTTTTTTGGAATTTAATGAGAAGCCACTGCTTGTTAAGGAGATTGTTAGTCAAGATGGCGAAGAGATGTCTGTTGGGTTTGAAATTTTAAGAGCTGATCTTGGTGCTGGAGCTGAGGAAGGAGATGGCGAAACTTTTTTTGATAAATTTGATGTTGGTATTCTTAACTTTGCTTGGATTTTGTCATGGAGTATTCTCCCTGAAGAAATGTTGAATGCCTTAACTTGCAGGAATTTGATGCTAAAATTTGATGTTGGTATTCTTATCTTCGCTTGGATTTCGTGTTCGTGTTAGGTCTAACTCAGTTAATGTTAGCTCTAAATAGTTAGTGTTCTAATTTAGAACTAACAAGAACTGAGTTAGAACTAACAGGAACTGAGTTAGAACTAACATAAACCCAGTTAGACCTAACATGAGTTAGAACTAATTGGAAAGCTGGAGTCGTGCTCAAGCCGTGAAATGCCGCGTGCGATTTTCTCAAGGAATCAAAACACTTAAACAATTTGATTTGCATATAAGTTGGCTCCATAACCCGTATAATAGGTATCCAAACCGATGGTTCTGGGACTAAATTCATACCACAAATGCTCTCATTCTCTACCCACTGATTTTTTTGTCTTTCATGTTCCATGATCACATACTAATTTGGATTTAGCATTTTTATTTTATATGCTTTTCAGAATTAGTGCAGCATTATTCCAAAAACCGACGCCCAAATCCTGCTGTATCACGGCTGTTCCTCTCTTCGCTCCTTGCAAATCCTTGTCGTGTTGTTAACAACGTCGACACGATCACTGAAAAAAATCAGTGGGTAGAGAATGAGAGCATTTGTGGTATGAATTTAGTCCCAGAACCATCGGTTTGGATACCTATTATACGGGTTATGGAGCCAACTTATATGCAAATCAAATTATTTCGTAACTATCATTGTATAAATTAGAATTAACTTGGTATAAAATAGAACTAACATTGTATAAATTAGAACTAACTTGGTATAAATTAGAACTAATGTGGTATAAATTAGAACTAACGTGGTTAAAATTAGAACTAATTTGTTATAAATTAGAACTAACTTGTTATAAATTAGAACTAATATGGTTAAAATTAGAACTAACGTGGTATAAAATAGAACTAACTTGGTATAAATTAGAACTAACGCGGTATAAAATAGAACTAACGTGGTATAAATTAGAACTAACCTGGTATAAATTAGAACTAACGTGGTATAAAATAGAACTAACGTGGTATAAAATAGAACTAACGCAGTATAAAATAGAACTAACGCGGTATAAAATAGAACTAACTTGGTATAAATTAGAACTAACCTGGTATAAATTAGAACTAACGTGGTATAAAATAGAACTAACATGGTATAGAATAGAACTAACACTGTGCAGATTAGAACTAACACGCTACAGAATAGAACTAACACTGTGTAGATTAGAACTAACACGCTACAGAGTTAGTTCTATTTTTATACCAAGTTAGTTCTATCGCTACAGAATAGAACTAACACTGTGTAGATTAGAACTAACACGCTACAGAGTTAGTTCTATTTTTATACCAAGTTAGTTCTATTTTATACCACGTTAGTTCTATTTTATACCAAGTTAGTTCTATTTTATACTAAGTTAGTTTTATGTTATAACAAGTTAGTTCTAATTTTAACCCCATTAATTCTAATTTTAACCACTCTCCGTGCGCCTTTCCTATTTGGGTACCGTAGGCTCTAACCAAACAAGTACCTAACAACAAATAATTACAACAAATCACAGGATTGTGATAGTTATGGAATGGCATTTTTATTTTATATGCTTTTCAGAATTAGTGCAACATTATACCAAAAACCGACGCCCAAATCCTGCTGTATCACGGTTGTTCCTCTCTTCGCTCCTTGTAAATCCTTGTCGTGTTGTTAACAACGTCGACACGATCACTGAAATCACCATATTCTTTCGATAATTAATTTACTAATCAATGCATAATGCGTATTTGGGAGTTTGCAACATCTGCAGAAAGCTTTCTTGTGCCATTTCGTAACTATCATTGTATAAATTAGAACTAACATGGTATAAAATAGAACTAATATTGTATAATTGTGCCATTTCGTAACTATCATTGTATAAATTAGAACTAACTTGGTATAAATTAGAACTAACGTGGTATAAAATAGAACTAACGTGGTATAAATTAGAACTAACTTGGTATAAATTAGAACTAACGCGGTATAAAATAGAACTAACGTGGTATAAATTAGAACTAACTTGGTATAAATTAGAACTAACGCGGTATAAAATAGAACTAACGTGGTATAAATTAGAACTAACTTGGTATAAATTAGAACTAACGCGGTATAAAATAGAACTAACGTGGTATAAATTAGAACTAACTTGGTATAAATTAGAACTAACGTGGTATAAAATAGAACTAACGTGGTATAAATTAGAGCTAACGTGGTATAAAATAGAACTAACGTGGTATAAATTAGAATTAACTTGGTATAAATTAGAACCAATGCGGTATAAAATAGAACTAACGTGGTATAAATTAGAACTAACATGGTATAGAACAGAACTAACACTGTGCAGATTAGAACTAACACGCTACAGAATAGAACTAATACTGTATAGATTAGAACTAACACGCTACAGAATAGAACTAACACTATGTAGATTAGAACTAACACGCTACAGAATAGAACTAACACTGTGTAGATTAGAACTAACACGCTACAGAATAGAACTAACACTATGTAGATTAGAACTAATACGCTACATAATAGAACTAACACTGTGTAGATTAGAACTAACACGCTACAGAGTTAGTTGTATTTTTATACTAAGTTAGTTCTATTTTATACCACGTTAGTTCCATTTTATACCAAGTTAGTTCTATTTTATACTAAGTTAGTTTTATGTTATAACAAGTTAGTTCTAATTTTAACCCCATTAATTCTAATTTTAACCACTCTCCGTGCGCCTCTCTCATTTGGGTACCGTGGGCTCCAACCAAACAAGTACCTAACAACAAATAATTACAACAAATCACATGATTGTGATAGTTACGTAATGGCACAAGAAAGCTTTCTGCAGATGCCGCAAACTCCCAAATGCTCATTATGCATTGATTAGTGAATTAATTATCGAAAGAATATGGTGATTTCAGTGATCGTGTCGACGTTGATAACAACACGGCAAGGATTTAATTTGCAAGGAGCGAAGAGAGGAACAGCCGTGATACAGCAGGATTTGGGCGTCGGTTTTTGGAATAATGCTGCACTAATTCTGAAAAGCATATAAAATAAAAATGCTAAATCCAAATTAGTATGTGATCATGGAACAGGAAAGACAAAAAAATTAGTGGGTAGAGAATGAGAGCATTTGTGGTATGAATTTAGTCCCAGAACCATCGGTTTGGATACCTATTATACGGGTTATGGAGCCAACTTATATGCAAATCAAAATAAAAAAGGACATCTATCAAGATTGTTTAATCTATGACATTACTCACGGGAACTTATATGCAAATCAAATTATTTAAGTGTTTTGCTTCCTTGAGGACATCGCACGCGGCATTTCACGGCTTGAGCACGACTCCAGCTTTCCAATTAGTTCTAACTCATGTTAGTTCTAACTGGGTTTATGTTAGTTCTAACTCAGTTCC